GCTTTAGTGCAGAATATTGGAGAAACAAAGTATTTCAAAATGGAAGTGTGCCAATAAGTGGTCTTCTACTGCCCTCTGCTGGCCACTTTTCTTATTAATAGTCTTTTCACTTGCTATTTGTTGGTAAACCATCCTATAACATGGTATATCAAGGTAAACTATGGAAAATCATGTTAGATTCATGGTAAATCATACTAGAACATGGTAAATCATGAAAAATCACATTGAAATATGGTTTATCATGGTAAATAATGCTTGCTACATAAAACTTAATGTCTTTTGATGCTTTTGTGCTTAAAGGCCTTAAAGGCCTAAACTGCTTGAACCCCGCAAATGCTGCTTGCAGCTTTAATTAGGGGTTCAAGCACGAAGTGCTGAAACCCTATTGTTAATTGTATTGATTTTTATTATTATTATTATTATTATTCTCCCCTAAAACGCATCGTGCAGCCCAAACCGTAAGTGCTGGAGCTCTGAAACTTTGTCAGATGTTAGTACAAAAATCGAGGAGAGGTTATCAAATTATGAGCCCGATTGGCCCATAGGTGGCGCTATAGCGACCAATTGCGCGAAACGGCTCATAACTCCTAGACCGTAAGTCGTACACTCAAGTGTCTTATATCATTGGAAAGCTGGTCACCTGACGAAAAAAACGTATATCTCCGATTTCATTTCCGGTATGGAAATTTTTCCGCCATTTTGAATTTTGTCGAAAACTACTTTTGCGAACTAGTCCCTGGTTTTTTGCCCGATCGGAACCAAACCAGTGCAGAAATGTTCTCTGGAGTCTGAAGATCAATAATTATCAAAAAAATGTTGAAAAAGTCTCTTTGCGGTCGCTAGGGGGCGCAAAATAAATGTTGTGGGAGGAGCCTATTTTACTAAAATGGCTATAACTCGAGAAGTAAATGAGATATCCTCAACAAACTCGGTACACATATGTATAAGTTCAATTTGAGGTCACAGTAAAAAAATCGCCACGATGGAACACTAGGTGGCGCTATAAAACGAATAAAACTAAAAAAGGGCTCTGACCAGCTGACCGTTAGTCCGATTGACTTGAAAATTGGTATGCAGTGTCTTTGTTCAAGGCCCCATGTATGTGTATGAGGACATTGGTGTATCTCAAAAAACATGGCCGCCATCGGCCAATGAAGTTTGAGCACCTATAAAACAAGGTTAACGAAGGCCGATCGGAACGAAACTCGTTGGGCATGTTTGACTCATGGCCCTAGAGGTCTGTAAGAATTTTGAAAGAAATCGGCCACTAGTTGGCGCTAACGAGTTTTATGGCTCTGTTATCACGTGGTGTTGCACACACCCCCACAATATGTATATCAATTGATAGATCTCCTCATGCTGAACAACTTTGCCTCAAGAACCATTGCTGTCAATCAAATCGTTCGTTAAATATTCACGAATATGTTAAAACCTACTTTTGCGAACTAGTCCCTGGTTTTTTGCCCGATCGGAACCAGACCAGTCTGGGACAATTCTTTGGACTCTCTAGATCAATAATTATCAAAAAAAGTTGAACTTTGTCATTTGTTTTGCCTATAACAGGGTCATTTAAAAAAGGGGGCATGACAAAATGCACCAAAAGCCTATAAATCCTAAAGGAAAAGTCAGAACTTCACAAAAATTGATGAGCATATGTGTCATAACGTATTCAACAAGCATGCAAAGTTTCATGGAGATCGGACTATAGGTGGCGCTATAATTGTTAAAAATATTAAAAACAATGTATACCCTATGGTAAATTGCCATTATTGAAACTTAAAACTTAATGTCTTTTGATGCTTTTTGTGCTTAAAGGCCTTCAAGGCCTAAAACTGCTTGAACCCCGCTAAATGCTGCTTGCAGCTTTAATTATTATTATTATTCTCCCCTAAAACGCATCGTGCAGCCCAAACCGTAAGTGCTGGGAGCTCTGAAACTTTGTCAGATGGTAGTACAAAAATCGAGGAGAGGTTATCAAATTATGAGCCCGATTGGCCCATAGGTGGCGCTATAGCGACCAATTGCGCGAAACGGCTCATAACTCCTAGACCGTAAGTCGTACACTCAAGTGTCTTATATCATTGGAAAGCTGGTCACCTGACGAAAAAACGTATATCTCCGATTTCATTTCCGGTATGGAAATTTTTCCGCCATTTTGAATTTTGTCGAAAAACTACTTTTGCGAACTAGTCCCTGGTTTTTTTGCCCGATCGGAACCAAACCAGTGCAGAAATGTTCTCTGGAGTCTGAAGATCAATAATTATCAAAAAAATGTTGAAATTTCTATTTCCGGTCGCTAGGGGAAGCAAAATAAACGTTGTGGGAGGAGCCTATTTTACTAAATTGGCTATAACTCAAGAAGTAAATGAGATATCTTCACCAAACTCGGTACACATGTGTACGAGTTCAATTTAAGGTGACAGTAAAAAAATAGCGACGATTGAACACTAGGTGGCGCTATAACATGAAAAAAACATAAAAAGGGCTATGACCACATGACCGTTAGTCCGATTGACTTGAAAATTGGTATGCAGTGTCTTGGACCAAGGCCCCATGTATATCTATGAGGACATTGGCGTATGTAAAAAAACATGGCCGCCATCGGCCAATGAAGTTTGAGCACCTGTGAGACAAGGTTAACGGAGGCCCATCGGAACGAAACTCGATGGGCATGTTCGACTCATGGCCCTAGAGGTCTGTAAGAATTTTGAAAAAAATCGGCCACTAGTTGGCGCTAACGAGTTTTATGGCTCTTTTATCACGTGGTGTTGCACACACCCCCACAATATGTATATCAATTGATAGATCTCCTCATGCTGAACAACTTTGCCTCAAGAACCATTGCTGTCAATCAAATTGTTCGTTAAAAATTCACGAATATGTTAAAAACGTACTTTTGCGAACTAGTCCCTGGTTTTTTGCCTGATCGGAACCAGACCAGTCTGGGACAATTCTTTGGACTCTCTAGATCAATAATTATCAAAAAAAGTTGAACTTTGTCATTTGTTTTGCTATAACAGGGTCATTTCAAAAAGGGGGCATGACAAAATGCACCCAAAAGCCTGAAAAATCCTAAAGGAAAAGTCAGAACTTCACAAAAATTGATGAGCATATGTGTCATAACGTATTCAACAAGCATGCAAAGTTTCATGGAGATCGGACTATAGGTGGCGCTATAATTGTTAAAAATATTAAAAACAATGTATACCCTATAGTAAATTGCCATTATTAAAACTTAAAACTTAATGTCTTTTGATGCTTTTGTGCTTAAAGGCCTTAAAGGCCTAAACTGCTTGAACCCCGCTAAATGCTGCTTGCAGCTTTAATTTCAAATTGGTTTCTTGAACATGACAATGAATTCACTGTACTAAAATGGCCCCCACGGTCACCAGATCTCAACCCAAAAGAGCATCTTTGGGATGTGGTGGAACGGGAGCTTCGTGCCCTGCATGTGCATCCCAGAAATCTCCATCAACTGCAAAGATGCTATCCTATCAATATGGGCCAACATTTCTAAAGAATGCTTTCAGCACCTTGTTGAATCAATGCCATGTATTCTTAAGGCAGTTCTGAAGGTGAAAGGCGGTCAAACACAGTATTAGTATGGTGTTCCTAATAATACTTGAATGTACATCTGAGTGTAATGGATTATTGACAAATTATATTAGACTTTGATGGCAGATGAACATGAGCTTGCAAGGCTAGGGTTTAGGAAGATTAAAAATTAAAAGATTGGTTATGACATTTTGATTAAACTTTACAAGTTCAAAAACATTTAACCGATTCACAGATAAATTGTTCACAATAAGCTGTATGATGTGCATAGGTTGAATTTCCATTGCATGCCAACTTTACATTAAAACATTTTTTGCAAAGAAATTCAAACACAGCCACAATATTTTTCTACAAAATATGAATAAGTCTTCAGTGAGAACGAAGATAGTACATCTTTGAAGCAAGCTGCACTCCTTCCTGAGAATGAGTCACATACATTACCTGTCATAACTTAAAACACACTAGACTGAATTCATGTTTTTCATGATATCAAAAACCTTTTGAATTAAAAGCTACAGCTTTCCCACAAGTGAACAATAATTGTTCTAGCCTTTATCAGCATTTCATTATTCATGCTTAGCCTCATTATTGTACAAAAAATTGTTTCTTGGCACAAAGTTTAATTAACCTTTTTAGGGTTAGTAACAATACATATGTTTTGCTGCTTCATGAGGCTGTAACCATCTATTTCTAATTAGTGGTAAAAGTGTATAAATCATCCACTGAAAATCCCATTTTTGTTGACCACTAATCTTAATATTGGGTTGACCATGACCCTTTTCCCTCAGTCTCTATGATGGTTATGGCCCTGGAGTTTGGGCTTGAGGAATGATAATATGAATCCATTGATTTCCCATTTCCTGTTTCTATAAATGAACACAAATGGAAATGACAAAAGAATGATCAATCACAAGATACTGTCTCAGTCTTTTCTAATCTCACCACTGAAAGCACCAAATGTGTTAATGTGGGTATTTTCACTGATGAGCTGATTGATATGCACGTGGTTACCCAACACAAAATTAACACCTCATGACTACTGCATTCTTTACTTCTGACTCCGCACATCTGCTATTTGCCAGATGTTGAATGTAAAAGAACAGATGACTTGTTCGGTTTTTGCCAAAAGTGTGGTTTCCCCTTTTCTTTTCCTGTAAAATTTGTCTTCACTGAGATTCGTGGGGGGCCAACGGGTTATGACGCGTTTTCTTATATTTCCCCATCCGTTTGGCGGCTGCAATGGAATCGGCAGAGGCGTCAAACTGTTTTTTAGTGTTTGACCTTGTGCTGCAGCTGTCTGCTTTAAAATAAATGCTAAATAACTCACTCTGCACTCATTTGTGTGCCCACCCCTCACACCCTTGGTGACCTTTAAATGATTGTTTCTGTTACTCAGAATAACACATCTTGACCAGAATTCATCCCTAAATACCACTTTCATTATTTCACTCACTCATCCATCTCTCCTCACTCACCAGGGGGTGAAGGTCAGAAATCATCTGCAGTAGTCTGAGCAGGTGGTGTCTACCGGCCTGGTCCAGCTGGGACATCATTGCCGTCAGCTCACGGATGTGTTGATGGATTGGCCCTGGTTGTCGTGGATATACGGATGGCAGCACTCTCAAAAGCATGGCATTACCTATTCAAACCAACAATCAATCAATACAGCACATTTCCCTTTCACAAATTAATATGGTAGCCGGATCTATGCCAAAATGCCACTTAAAGGGATACTCCATCCATCATTTACTCAGCCTCAAGTGAGTTTCTTTCTTCTGCTGAACACAAATGAAGATATTTTGAAGAATGATTGGAACCAAACAGTTCTTTGGCATCATTGACTTTCATAGTAGAAAAAAAAAATACTATGGAAGTCAATGGTGCCCAACAACCGTTTGGTTCCAATCGTTCATCAAAATATCTTTCTTTGTGTTCAGCAGAAGAAAGAAAATCATACAGGTTTGCAACAACTTGAGGTTGAGTAAATGATCACAGAATTTTCAGTTTTGGGTGGAGTATCCCTTTAAGTACACACAAAAAATTTAAAAGAAAACACAAACAAACCAACAAAGGAACAAAATGGACTGTTGTGGAAATGAACATTATCTGAGCCCTTTTATTGAAGCACTATAGGAGCGTTTTCACAGACTGCGATGGCACGTTTTCACAATTAACATCATAAATCTTTTTTTCTTCCTTTATTATATAGCACAGTAGAAGGTAGACAGGAAGCGAAGTGGGAGAGAGAGCGGGACAGGATTGGGAAATTGCATGAGCTGGAACTACCCCCCTTTGAAAAGTTTACGGGAAGGTTATGGCTAACAAATATTGACGAATTAGTCTACTTTTTTCGAAGACCTAGCTGTAACTAGCGCTCTGATTTAGTGTCATGTTCGATTTTTACTGATCATCCACATATCTGCTAAAAAAACGTCACGTCACCAGGAACTAAATATGGTAGGAAACTCCCACCCATCATCAACCACAAATCTAATCTCTGCTCTGGCAAGCCATCTAACTCAGGGCGGTCGGTTAACAGACATAATTCTGTAAAGGAGATGTTTTGCCTGGCTCAGGGAGAACATTTAGTTTTGCAGAAGACCTGCCCACCTGTTTCTACATACAGCGGGTGGTGTTAATGAAGGATTAGTGTTATCCATAACAACACAACTGGGAAAATGTTACTGGCCTTAGACAGTTAACAAGAAATACGAACAATCTTTCATTCACTTCCAAAGACCACATGTGATAAGTAATTTAATCTTTGCCAGGTGCTTTGGTAGAAGGTCTCTTAACACGGATTCATTATTTGTGCAAGTCCATTTTGCCACAGTAATTGCATTAGGATTCCCAAGTACAGTTTCTAGGTTGCCAGAAAATTATCAGCAAAAGTTTTTTGAAAAGTGAACTAATCCTTTAAATTCTTTGACATCTTCACGTCTGACTTGATCAGACGCTCTCTGATACTCGTTTTTATGACCAAGCAAAGACAATTTAGGAAAGAAGAGATATGGGAAAAGACATAATATTTTCATAATCAAGTTCAAGTTCAAGTCAACTTTATTGTCAATCAACCTATTTAATAATTTGGGACAATAAAAATGGAGCTGAAATACAGGAACATCCCGTGGAAAAAAGATGTCTGATCACCCTATTTAAATCACGTGGACTCAGAGCATTAACACATTTTGTCCAGTACAGCAAATTACAGAAAATGTATTTCAAGGGAATGATAAACATCCAGGTGTTCATTTTAATATTTCCTTCCTGCTCCACCACTTCGGGTGTAGGTGTGAGGTTGTCATGCAATATGCTGCACAATTAAAATCTAGTTAAGAGGACCTCATTGTGTGAGCTTTGCCGTCAATTATGGTGTAGGTGCTACTGGAATTTCATCAGCAGCACTTTTCATTCCAAGGTGGCAGATTGACGGCATTAGCCAAGGCTGACTGACCTTCCACTGTGTTCCCATTAGACAACGAGACCAGTCATTCACATTTGTACTGTCCCGTCACCCTGCTCTGAGTTCACATTCAGATACGCCTCTGTAATTTTTGCAACAAGTAATATACATCCTCAGCAGGGACGCTACTGTGGGAAATGGTGTGATCTTCATCAGTTAAAACGATTATGCTGAACAGAGAACGTGTTAAGATAATTCTGACTGCAAACGGACTGATGACTTGTGTAAAACTCATATTCTGAAAAGGCTCATGCTGTCATGAACATACTGTAGCTGACATAAGCAAAAAAATCCATCCGTTGGAGTTTGGCATTCCGAGTTGTAGACATATTAATGTCAACTTTCCAAAGGGTACATGTCATGGGACCCTTCTGTTTCCCATAATGTCCTGCACATTAAATATATAAATCCTGCACCAGCCCCAGAAGTTACCTAGTACAAACAGAATAATAGACAAGTAATATTTGAATGAGTAAAGCACATTATTCAGTAATAAAATAAGAGAACATGGGCATGGAGGAAATGTTTTTTTTGTTGTTTATCATGTGGTGTGCAGATACTTGAAGAAACAATCCTATAAACTTTTGGATTAGATTTTGGAGTTTAGTTTCTGAACAGTGAATCCAAATCAGCAAATCCTAGTCCAGAACCGGATCCAAGTCTTGTTTTGGACTGGAGAATAAGAGTTGGGACTAGGAAAGTAGTAGGAAGCTTGCGAATCAAATCACATTTACAGCAATTTTACTCCTAGTGAAAAATAAATATACCAAAATGTATTTAAAATACATTATATTATGCTAAGCATACTACAAATACCTTTACATATTTATGTACTTAATATAAATACCCTGCAATTGTACTTTTAGTGTACTAAATTGGGATACTTAAAGGAGTAGTTCACTTTTAAAAAAACTTTTGCTGATAATTTACTCACCCCCGTGTCATCCAAGATCGTTCTTCAGTCGAAAAGAAATTAAGGTTTTTGATGAAAACATTCCAGGGTTTTCTCCATATAATGGACTTCAATGGGAACCAAACGGTTCAAGGTCCAAATGAGAGTTTCAGTGCAGCTTCAAAGGGCTTTAAACGACACCAGACGAAGAATAAGGGTCTTATCTAGCGAAATGATCGCTCATTTAAAAAAGAAATAAAAAGGTTTACGTTTTATAAGCACAAATGCTCGCCTTGCTCTGTTCTGTGATTAGCGTTAGTGACTCTCCTGTTCAAACTAAAAATGAACAAATCTTTTTTTCGAGTCATGACTCGAAGGGTCCTAGATAAGACGCTTTTTCATCGTCTGGTGCCGTTTAAAGTCCTTTGCAGCTGCACTAAAACTCTCATTGGACCTTGAACCGTTTGGTTCCCAATGAAGTCCATTATGTGGAGAAAATCCTGGAATGTTTTTTTTTTTTTATAAACATGTATTTATTGAATTTTTACAATTAACAAGGGTATATATTTTACATTTAACAAATACATTTAACAAAGCGTTTAACAATCAAACTATAAAAGAAAAGAATCCCCCCCCCCCCCAAAAAAAAAAAAACCGACATTATATAATCATACATAGCTTAGGAAATACAGACAATTAGGTATATATGACCTTCAAGTTTCCAGAGTTTCCTCGGCCTCACAATTCTCCAAAAATGCAAGAAAGGGATTCCAAATCTCTTTAAATTCGGCTGATTTCTTTTTCAATCCTGGAATGTTTTCATCAAAAACCTTAATTTCTTTTCGACTGAAGAAAGAATGACATGGACATCTTGGATGACATGGGGGTGAGTAAATATCAGCAAAAGTTTTTTTTTAAAAGTGAATTACTCCTTTAAAGTCTGTTAAATTGCTATTTTTGTACTAAATGCATTTTAGTTATCTGGAAGTAGTGCTGAACTTCAACTAAATATATATTTAAGTATATAAGTATATAAGTATTTAAATATATATATATATATATAGGCTTTATATTAACAAATGTGCATAGTGCAATAGTATAGTACAAGTGCTCCAAATTATACTATTGTACTATTTATATCAGTAAGTCTCAGGCAATATGCAAGTAAATATGTTTATAGATTTGTAGTACACTTTGTATGAAACAAATGTACTTTAAATACATTTTGGTATAGGTTTTTGTCACTAAGGTAATCACTGGTCGCAAGGTCACAATACTAGTTGCTAAGCGTTTCTGATGCTGGCTACCCTGACATCATTGGTGCACGGCAGAACCGACCCTAGCTTTTGAAAATATGATCACAAATGAGAAGCACTGTAGGCCAAGATTTTGTCTCACAGGAGATAGATTGTATGCTGCTCAATTATCTTCAATTTTGGTAGTCGCAACTTCATGTCTCTGTTGTAAAAAAAATTCGACTTTGCCATAAATGGACCACTTACATTGAAAATGAAAGTTACTACTAAATTAGGGACTGAGAGTATGAATAGGCTTTAGGGCTGAAAGTTAAGATCCAAGTCAGATGAAGGAACAAGGGCAGCTTTTATAACAAATGTTAAGGATCAAGGTTAGATTTAGACTGTGCTAGATTAGTGTGAGTGGTTTTAAGGATAAATTAAATTAAAGAATAGGGTGTTACATATGAGAAAATTTAAATTCATTACAAAAATTCACCATGACCTTTCCAGGCCACTTTTTCTTAATTCACTGGTATTTCCAGGTTTGCTTTACTTGCCTCAACTCATTACCTCTTACCCAACATCCTCCCCCAAACTCTCTCTCTCTCTCTCTCTCTCCATTGCAGGAGCAGTACAACAATTTGACTTCCCATACTACCTCCAACGAAGAATTTCTCACTGAAGCTACGTAACTCTCTCTCTCTCCCCCCACCCCTCTTTCTCGCTCTCTCTGAGCGCAATGTTTATATAGACCACAGAGCTCCCCTATCAGGCTCAGTTGCCTTTCAGCTGCAGTTCACCAAACAAGCAGGAGTCCAGTCAACCGATTGCTGAGCATCTAACAAGAAGGACCAACAGAGAGAGGACGAGACATTATACACAAACACTGAGTCCTCTTCTTATTTTCACATGGCTAGCATGTCCATGTGGACATTCCTCCAGGCCATGTGTCTGGTGGCTTCATTGTCCATGGCCGTACCTGAGAATTATGAGGATGAAATCGAGGTGGGCTTTGGACCCAATTATTTTAACGAGATACCTGAGGAGGACCAGATGGAAGGTGAGTAACTGACAGAAATAAAAAAAAATATTCCACTGTTATCAGTACCGTCAGCTGTAAGTTAAAGAGACATGCAAGTGCTGACAGGATACATAAAAAGGATTAAAGGATTTCCACTATAAGAGTGTGTGTGGACAAGTCAGAAAGGAGTTTTATTAGCAGGGAATGAATGCAGAATTTGTGGAAGAGGTTATACTACAATTGTGTAATGATTGTTGTTTTCAATTGTTGTCTCTGGTGAAAGCAAACGATGGAGGGACATAGAAAGAGAGAGAGAAGCTGATTTATTAACCAGACTGATCCAAGAAACAAAAAAAGTTGTGTGTTTGATAGTCATATATACATACTGTAAATAGCTTAAGAGTTAAATTAAGTTAAATTGTTGATACTTTTCTAAGGTGTGTGGATTATATAATGAACATTTGTTCATAAGCAAACCATGGTAATAAATAAAGCTATGTTTTGAAGAAAATAATTGTGTTAGTGCCTTCACAATCATTGTTAAATCAAATGAAGAAAGTGTCGATTTCATGTGAATATTTTGCTGTTTGTTAGGCTCATCCCATTGTTGTAGAACATGGAAAATATATTCTTTGGTTGAGTTTCAATTAATAATTTGTCTATATGGGTCATACCCTTTAGGCAAATATGACTGCCTTAGATGCAATAGTTCATCTCTAAAGTTAGCTAGGACCATGTCGCACTCTTCGCTGCTAACCCTTCAAACTCAACAAATGGTGTCACCTTGAGTACATATACAAACCATGCCATGTAAGCTCAATGTTTCTGCATTCCTCTCTTTCCCTTGATTTCTCTCTTAGGGGAGACCCCTACACCTTTCCCTGAACCCTGCAAAAGTCCAGCTTTTACCAAGTGGGATAAGCTCTTCACAATGCTGGAAAATTCCCAAATGAAAGAGAACATGCTCCTGCAGTATACAGATGATATCATCAAGGTTGAGCTGCAGAGTCTGAGAGGAGAGATGATACAGTTTGTGGCCCAGTACGGTGGCTCTTGTGCCTCTGCAGTTGAGAGCTTGGTTCGGCGGGCTGGGACTCAAACAGAGACGCGATTGCAGAATGCACTGGACCGTGTGCGAGAGGTCTCAGCCGATCAGTACACACGGCACGATACAGCCCTGCAGCAGCTACTGGCTGGCAGTGTAAACCTGGCTGCACGGCTGGAGCGACTGGAGAACGGCTGCGTGAAATGGGCGGGAGGAGATATGACCTCCCAAGCCAAGAGTGTCCAGACTCGACATCTCATGCAAGAAGTGACTGAGACAGAGAATGGAGGTAGGCTGGAAAAGACTCTGGAAACGATCTCCAGTGAGCTGCAAACCATCCGGGAACAGCTGACTCTTTACACCAGGTCAACCTTTGCAAACATGCTTCCATCAGGTGAGAGAGTCTATGTTGTAACAAGAAAAAGTTGTCCATTTGCCACTTTATTGAGAGGCAAGTATAGCAAACAATGGGTAGGGAGAGGCAAAGTGGGATAAAGAAATGTCTCCAAGCCAGATGTGTCATTTAAACAATGCCTCAAAGTGTTTAACTATGTGTAATAAATGCTACCCCATGGCTCAAATTAAAGAACACATTGTGTTAGGGAAGGGTAAAACGTAGGTTTTTGTTACAGGTTTTGAACAACAAAAAAATCATGCACCAATTTCAACCCCCTTTGCAAGTATGTTGCTTTATGTGAGTTAACCTTTTAAAGAGCCCCTATCATAGCATTTGAAATGTTCCTATTTTTGTTTTAGGAGTTCCCAAAAACAGTTTAACATGCATGCAAGGATAAAAAACACTTTATTTGTCTTATAATATGCATTTGTTTTTAACTGATTTGCTCACCGACTCCCAAATGATTCGTACAACGAATCATTTTTCCAAACCACTCCTTTGCGTGACGCTAATCGGCGGTGATTGGTCAGATGACAGACCCAGTCAGTTATTGTAACGCATAAACATATTGATAAAGCACTGCAGTACTACAAGACGCTCTATTCTTTATGACAACTCCAATAACAGCGACAAACATTTCACATATTTAAAAAAAAATTGACATTGGAGACCTAGAATCTGCGCTGAGCGTAATTTACGTACACACACACACAAACTGCCTCACGTCCCGACGCTACAAAACCGTTCAAAACCCATAAAAGCAACAATTATTAATAATACTTACAGGTTGTGATTCGAAGGAGGAAGCTGATCCATATACACTGAGTAAGTAAGTTACTGAGCCCTCCTTCAGGAACAACCGCTTGCGAATCCACATTTGAATTCATTTATGTTTTGAACTAACGTTATTCGTCAATAAAATGATGAGAACACAATCGGGCTATACTGTTGTGGTATCGTTGCAAATATGACCTCTAACCACCGATTCTTCACATGCTCGTCCCTGGTAAATGAAAACAAAGTGGCTGAACTATCTTTGCAATGTAGAACACAGCGTCTTCTCGACATGATGCTATGATGAAGTATTTGAATGTGTAGACTTCAAGTTTACACTTCCGTCTGCGCGCGCAGTAACTGGGCGCGGCCAGCTACGAACCAGCTAATGACTCGTTTCAAAAACAATTCATTTCATAGACTCAGAGTCGACTCTCACTTTTGAAAGACAATAACTTTATATACGGTGCACTTTCAGATATAAATCTTTGCAGGATGTTTTCATTCCCTTAGAGCTATATTCCACACCATATAAACAGTCATTTTCAAAAATCCATGATAGGGGCTCTTTAAGATCAATCTGGATAGGACTAAAACAGACCGCCAAGGTGACGATTCTGCTTTGGTGCAGCAAATTTTGAGCTGTAAATCTGCGATTTATGCAAACCACATGCTACCATCAAACCACAAGCCAATTTAGCTGACTAACACATAACACAAAATGTCAACTCATACGACCCCCTGAGCAGGCCTAAAGTAGGAGGCTGATATCCCCCAAAATCTAATAAATGTTTAACCCCGTACAACTTTCCCCAAGCTCCTACCGAGTTTGGAAAAACAAGCCTTGTCCACATCAAGAGAGCTTTCACCTTGTCAGTAAGCCGGATACAGTTTCTAGTCAACTTAAGCAAAGAAAGATTTAATCTGCGAATGCCCATGCCTTCTGCATTAAATAGCTTTGTAGAGGTAGAGTAAATAGAACACAGAGGGAGGTATAATTATTAACAGCTATACAGGGCGACCACACCAAAGTGTCCAAGGGAGAACACAGAACCAGATGAGACTTTAGAGAATGACTTAACCTCCCTCCATCCTCCCAAAGCAGGAAACCCAAGACAAATGTAATGAAAATACTATAAGCTACAGTAGGAAAGGAGAGCCATAGCCTGTCATAGCAAAGCAATCATACATAACGGAGAACATCTCATTACCAAACCCATTAACAAAGACCCTTAAATTTCTTTTAGGAGTGTTTTACAAGTCTTCCATTGTAATTCAGTTTCTTATAGTTGAAGATACATATACAAAAATGCACAACTGCACAAAGAAGATCCTAGTTGGGTTCTACCAGACGAATTCTCATCACATTCAGTAATAAATAAATATTAATAGCACAAGGATTAAGGAATAAGATCTCTGTCGCTCTTTAGAAAGTCTCAGTGGGAGCAAAAACTGGACAGGATCCATAATGACTATAATGTTTACAATAAAAACCATTACTTTGAGGACCCCAATAAGAATTAAAAGAATGCACTGAAGATTACAGTACGTCACAAAATACTGACCTTTTAATTAAAACAAGTAAATGCTTTGTGATGAACCCTCCTTGAAAGATTTTGACTATGTAAAGGTTATCCATAGAAAATAAGCTAAAGTCTTACGCACCTAGTGATGGGTGGAGTGGTGCAATGGTTCTCCCTCTGAAATGTAGGGGAACCGACATCACCACAGATTCATTTTGTTCCTTCCAACAGGGGATAATTACATTTTGATAACACTAAACCTTCTTTCTCTCCAGGCTGTGACACTGGGCTACTCTTCCCCACACGTTCATCTACAGCTCATGTTGAAGTCTCAGCCAAGAAAATCTTCCAGACCAATGCCGTCACCATTTGCCTGTGGGTGAAACCAACTCAGGTGCTCAACAAAACCGTCCTCTTCACTTACAGCACAACTGGCAACGCCTACGAACTCCAGCTGGTGTTGAATGGACAGAGTGTCTTTTTTACAGTCAATGGTGAAGCCCATTTGGTGGAGGCTTCAGGAGCAGTACAAGAGGCCCAGTGGGTGCACATTTGTGCAGTCTGGAGCTCACAGCAGGGCTTGGCCTCGATGTGGGTGAATGGTCAACAAGCTGCAAGCTCTCCCGGAGTGGCTGAGGGGCATGAGCTACGTAGCAAGGGAAGCATACTATTGGGGCAAGAGTATGGACGTCACTTCAGGCATTTTAGTAAGCCAGACACATTTGATGCTGAGCAAGCCTTCACAGGGAAGATGACTGGAGTGAACATGTGGGACCATGTTTTGGATTCAAAGGAAATATCTCAGCAGGCACGGCTGGATGGGAGTGGTTGTGGTCTCCGTGGTAATGTGGTGGCATGGGGCGTGTCTGACATTGAGCCAAAAGGGGGTGTCAAGCTAATATACTAATTTCTCTACTGTCTTAACCATAGATATGTATATAGATGCTAGATGTGTTACGGCAGAGTTTCCATCGTCATCACCGGCGGCCATCTTGTCACAGACAGGCTTTCTGGCGGGCTCTGTGGTATCTGATGTAAGAAATACTCTTATCTCGTTGAAATCTTGACGGATTTACAAACGGTTTGGTTTCTTACAAACGTTATTAACGTGGCTATAATTCTGGATGATTATTTATTTATACACATTTATAAAACAATGTTACCAATGAGCGAGCTGCCTGTGACAAGATGGCCGCCAGGTGCTGACATCGACCTCCATTGCCCAGCAGCGCGGACGACACATCTAGCCTTTATATACATATCTATGGTCTTCACCACCTGAGCCCTGTATACCAATCAGCTGAGCTACTACAATCACATATTAAGAACCTGCTTCGCTACACCTGCAAACAACAGTAATTTTCCTCCTTTTCAGATGTGTGGAAAATGTTCCTTCATAGGGAAATTGTATGGTGAACAGACTGTAGTCAAGCAAGTTAAAATAGGTAAACTGCTGCAATTGGAGGGACATCATCACATATGATTATATATTTTTTACAAAAATGTTCTGTTTTAAAAGAATGTTTTCAATTAATACAAAGTGGAAGGAATTTTTTTTTACAAATATATGATGTATCGCCAAACTATTTATCTTGATTGGTAATGTTTACATTCAGATTTGACTTAATTTTTAATCTATTTGTAATGTAATCCTTGTTCATTGTTATTTTTCTTACGTTTTTTTTTTTTAAACTCTAGAATCTGTTACAAATGGCTATTTCAAAATATTTTGTTATATGATTTCTGCTAATGAATACATTTTTTACCTTTAACACAAGGTGGTTGCTACGTTTTGATGATGGAACTGTGGAATATGTTTACAAATTGCGACTATTTTTGTTTCTGCTGATGTGATTAAATGTATTATAATGTAAATTGTTTTTGTTAAGAGGCAAAGTTGAATGTATAATGTATAAAAATATTTTTTCTGAGGGCTGGGAGGAACAAATTATAATAAAAATGGAAGAAAAAAAATTGTGTTCAAGAGGTGAATGAAAGTGCATTGGATAATAGAACATACCCAGTTAACATTCTCATAACTAGCGATGCACTGATATATTATTATTTTTTGTCCGATACTGATACCAATTTTAACAAACCACTATTGCCCGATTCAGACAATGATCTGTCATTTGCTTTCTTTTTTAACTTTTGTTCTTAAAATAGTGTTTTGATCATGTTTTAAATTAGCAAAGTTCAAAAATGCATGAATTAAAAGGTATGGTAGCAAGTTGAGTGCTACATCATCAAATAATTTCTGTTGAACATAGATTAGATGCATTTAATATTCAACAGGCCTATATAAATAGATATTTACAACAAAACAAAGATGCATAAACATTGCCTTTAAGGTAGTCACAATTACACAATAGCACAATATATATATATATATATATATATATATGTATAAACACACACACAGTATATAACCCACACACCTACTATTACGGCGAATTATGAAAGCAGAAACTATGCTTAATTTCAGTTTAACAGCATTAAAGAGGACTAGCTGAACTGTGCTAATCAAAACCGTCCTCTTCCCTTACAGCACGACTGGCATTTTCATTTTTCATATTCTTAAAACAACATATTCTGTTCTTATCAATAAAGTTGTAGTTGTAATAACTTGTAGCCACTATGAAAGTGTGGACTCGGATAAGAACCAAAACAGTTTAAATGTATATTCACAACTACAATCCAGACATTTCATTAGGAATTCATGCCATCTGAAATTTCAAATACTTGAAGAAAGATTTCAATACGTAGAATTTGCAATGGATTTGACCAGCGTTGACCAACAACTGTTTCGCCTGAAAGTTGCTTATGTCTGTGCTGTGCTTGCTACACTAAAGACATTAGAAAATGGGGATATTTTGCCAGTAAAAAAATTGTTGAAATTTAGGTAATGTGACCACACCCTAACAAAGCATTTGAAACAGGGCCAGTGAATCTGCTCTATACGTTTCAAAATCTCTTGTGTGGTTTGCCTCATTTTTTTGAAGTCTAAAAACTTACAGAATAATAGAAGCGACCTATTAGTTAATGTCAACATTAAATAACATTCAAAACCCATTTTACTTCCACACAGAGATAAACATACACACACAACAACCACCTTTACCACATGGACAAAAAAAGCTTTAAAAAAGTTAAGACACAGAGCAAGTAAATATGAACTTTTGTGATCATGCTGAGTCATGTACATCAAGTGTAGAGTATTCAAGTAATCAGTTAATTGGAAACATGAGAAAACAGCATGGGCCACACTAAGTGTCTGGTATTTTACATTTATAACATGCAACACAACCAAAGATCTGGATGTCACTGGTCACGGGTCAGTGTAAAAGAGGAACAAATCATTGGCTTAGCAAAAACACTCAGGCCTCAGACTGATTAGTGGTTCCAGATGGTGGTAGGGAGAATGCATTCTTGAAAGGATATTACTAATAATGAGCATTGCTAGAGGGAGTTTGTGAGCCATTCAAAACCTTTAATGTTTCAAAGATGCTCTTTTCTACCTCTGGCTTTCCTGCTCCTGTAGTGAGTGTACACACCAGGGGAGCTGTGCCTAACACACTCCAGACCACTACAAAAACGCTCACATCGTACCTCCGACATGACTTTAACATGAGACCACTGTGTTACTGAGGCAGCAACACACTAAGGAAACACAAGAGCTCATGGCGAGACTCATCGAAAATATTTTAAAGAGACTAAATGATTGTACAAGCAGTTGCCTGCTTGAAGTGATTATTCAAAATAAGAGCCTACTCAAGACAGTGTGCGATTTCAGACACAGCCTTTGATTTCCACAGAGCCTGGCCTGAGCACTAAACAGACCATGAAATTGTAATCTAATTGCTGTACCAATGAAGTAGTTGTTCCTATGAATCATTGCTCTACCCTTTTTTTTGCAGTGAACAGCATTTAGAACCCCTCAAAGGTATCCCTCAAAACCTAACCTGAACCCTATTACCTCACCCCACTTCCTGCTTCATGGACTGGGAATAGGTCGCACGTTATCGGTTCTCTGTGAACCCGAGGCAAGTAGGACCGTGGTGGTGCTAATGAGAGAAGGGAAAAGGAGACTGAATAAGAGACAGACCCCAATGGATTTGCTCTGCTATAATGCATGGCTCATGGAGAAACCACAAAACTTAATATGCTTATACTGGAAATGAAGACCCATAACTGACTTTTACTGTAAGTTAAACCAAGTATCATAATGAGTCATGTCAAATACGGCAAGGAAATGTAGAAATGTTGGTTGTCTTGTGCTGTCATGTTACTTCTAAGGAAGGGTGAGTAGGGTAAATGCTCTGTTTTCAATCTCTAGTGCAGGTTGGATTCAACCCAGAGGTTCTGCTAACTCATGTACCAGCTTTCTCTTCCCACTCAGCCCATTAGAGTTCTGCAATGGTACAAGATGTAATCATCTGTGTCCTGACAATATACACAAACATAGAGCATATGTAAACCCAAGCATATCAATGCAAACTGCCTCAAATACTGACAATACCTCAGGCTCAAAAACTTGGGCAATTGTTGACTGGAAAATGTCATGACAGTTTCACAATTGAGAATAACGTAACCAGCTCTTGGACAGACATGATGGTCAAGCGGCAAGCCCAGTTTTAAGACAATACACTTCATTTAGATCTCAAACCCTCGTCAACAGTTGAATAATACAATTTAAAGCCCAAGAGGGTCCTTCTTCAGCTGAGGCAATGTTTTTGTGTGTTGGCAAGAAGCAGAATGTTAAATGCAGAAGTACAATGAGGGACCTCTGCATAAACCACTGTGTCATGACTGGATGGATATCCACTGGACGGATAATGTTTCATTTGTTAAAGAGCCCCTATCATAGCATTTGAAATGTTCCAATTTTTGTTTTAGGAGTTCCCAAAAACAGTTTAACATGTATGCAAGGATAAAAAACACTTTATTTGTCTTATAATATGCATTTATTTTTAACTGATTTGCTCACCGACTCCCAAATGATTCGTACAACGACTCATTTTTCCAAACCACTCCTTTGCGTGACGCTAATCGGCGGTGATTGGTCAGATGACCCAGTCAGTTATTGTTTGTTAGCATAACGCATAAACATATTGATAAAGCACTGCAGTACTACAAGACGATCTATTCCTTATGACAACTCCAATAACAGCGACAAACATTTCACATATTTTAAAAAAATATGTGAAACGCCTTCCCTCCTCGCGCCCGACGCTACAAAACCGTTCAAAACCCATAAAAGCAACAATTATTAATAATACTTACAGGTTGTGATTCGAAGGAGGAAGCTGATCCATATACACGGAGTAAGTAAGTTACTGAGACCTCCTTCAGGAACAACCGCTTCCGAATCCACATTTGAATTAATTTATGTTTTTGAACGATCCGTCATTAAAATGATGAGAACACAATCGGGCTATACTGTTGTGGTATCGTTGCAAATATGAACTCTAACCACCGATTCTTCACATGCTCGTCCCTGGTAAATAAAAACAAAGTGGCTGAACTATCTTTGCAATGTAGAACACAGCGTCTTCTCGACATGATGCTATGATGAAGTATTTGAATGTGTAGACTTCAAGTTTACACTTCCGTCTGCGCGCGCAGTAACTGGACGCGGCCAATGACCTCTCTACGTCACGATGTAACAGCTAATTCATTTCATAGACTCAGAGTCGACTCTCACTTTTGAAAGACGATACCTTTATATACGGTGCACTTTCAGATATAAATCTTTGCAGGATGTTTTCATTCCCTTAGAGCTATATTCCATAACATATGAACAGTCATTTTCAAAAATTCCATGATAGGGGCTCTTTAAACAAAAAATATGGAGATATTTTCTTTTCATAATGTGGGGATGAAGAGACTGAACCTGGAATTCGAGGAAAAATGCTGAGGGAGTCACTCCCTACTCTAGAGTCTGACAGGATGTGACAGGATTTTTTCAATGCCATGCTCACAAAAAAAATAGCTGATATGAAGGCTTGTGAAAGAAAACCTAATCATTAAGTCAAGATTTGTCTAAATAGGCATTTTCTGGGCCGAAGAAGCTGACAAATTGGCATATGCCCCCCTGTGGTATAAACATGTCAGGTGATTCACTCAAGTTTCTTGGGTGGCCGTTTCTAGAGGGCCTTTCGCTTGTAGCTGTCATACAGTACAATTTTAATTATTCAACCATAAGAAAACCACTAGATTGTATCCATTTTATATCCTTATCTGTAACATGATCAAGCTATACCAACAAAACATAACTTTTTAAAATCTTTCAGTATTTATTCTGTGGCTCAGTTAGAAGGCATTTACAATACTGTTGTCCTCTGGCTGAACCAAATTATATGACAAAGAGTTTAGGTCAATGTAAATTTGACCACACTATTCCCTAATGAAGCCATGTTTGTTCTTTGTCTCTGATGGCCCAGGCCAAAGATCTCCCAGACTGACCATTCCTTAATGACAGAGTTTCAACACAATAAGCAGACCCACACCAATCAGATCTTTATCTTCGATGGGCAACAATTTGTGTGAGTAGATGTTTGAACAGCTGAGATGTGAGTGTATTTTGGCACAAACACTAGGTCAAATTTACCATCTATTCCTCATTTCAACTCTTTAAAAAAATGCAAATCTTTAATTCAAAAATCATTGAATAACATGCCAATTTAGAAGAACAATGATTGTAATAAAGTGTGCTTCATTGTGGATGTCTCAAATGACCCATTTAACTGTGTGGTTTTGAGACCAGAAACCATAACCTCACACTGTGGGCCAGGAAGACCACACGCCATCTACACTACACCAATGCTGTGGGTGGCGCTTTAGTGCTGTGGAAACTAAACCGTCATTGGTATGTGTGTGTGTGAATGTTCTTTTAAAGGCAAAAAAGGACTGCTTCGCAAATTAAAACAATGGCAACGAGGTGCAGGGCCTGGAAAGCACTGAAACCTGGGGAACATGATTTTATACCTTCCATGACTCACCATTGTTTTCTATTGCGTAATCAAACATAGCACACGGTGACGGTGACTTTGCCAACTAGGACATGTTCCTGGATCAACATCTGTTGTTGGTCCTGGAACAATATTCTTGTCAAACAAACACAGCCATAACCCTAACAATGCATTTCTCCTGTCTTAAGGCGACAACTCACAGCTATCACACACCGGACGCACACATTCTAGAGTCAGTTTGTGGTCAAAAATATTGTTATGTTTAAAGGGGTCATGAACTGGCTTTTTAAATTTTATTACATTGTTGTCTGAGGTCAAATTATGACGTTCGCTTAGTTTTTGCATTCAAAAACATCAAAATGTATAAGTAATAGGCTATTTTGTAGCTGAAAAACGCTCGGTTAGTTGGTCGTCGTTGAGCATTAGAAGGAAAAAGCACTGGTATCAATTGAAGCTATATTGGGTTATTTACCCCCTTATCTTTGTTGTCTTATTAAACAGAAGACACCTAGTAGTTAGGGCCCAAGCACTAACAGTGCGAGGACCCTATTGAAACTGTTAGGATTATTTATTATTTATTTATTTTTATTTTTTTTCTGCAAAGTAAGCGCCATTTTCGGGGCCGCAACATGCTCAAAAAGTCACCAAATTTGGCATGCATGTCAGGACTGGTGAAAAATTTCGTATTTTGTGGGTTTCGCGGATGGGGACGGGCCAAAATGGCTCGCTAGCGCCACCTACAAAATTGGAAAAAATTAGCCCCTCGTCCACGTTCAACCTACATGCACGAAATTTGGTGGGGATGTGTATCATATCAAGATGCACAAAAAAGCCTCAAGAACCCATACCCTAAACTCGACAGGAAGTCCGCCATTTTGAATTTGGCGACCGATTTCGGACGATTTACACACTCCGTACTTTAACGAACTCCTCCTAGGGATTTAGTCGGATCGACTTCAAATTTCTGCTGTGCCTTCTAAAGGCATTGACGATGTAAAGTTGTGCTATCTGCGCGTTTTCGTCGATGGGCGTGTCCGTGGCGTCGATGATTCGCCATGAAACAGGAAGTTGTAGTAACTGAGCTGCAAAATATGCAACGCGGCCGCCTCACACCCCGACGCGCTACAGGTGCGAGGGCCCGCCCATCGCTGCTTACAGCTTTAATTGTTCATTACGTTCTAAATCGATCTACAATTTGCGTGTGCCTTTTGTCAAAATTGAGATGGGTAAAACCTTTTTTAAATATGCTGCAGCATCGGATTGGAATCTTCTCCAGACTGAGATGAAGTTAAAAGAAATAGTATCTTGTGGTCAATTTAAATATTTATTAGATAATCATCAGAGTAAACTAATTGTGTGTAAATGTTTGTAACTAGGTGCATTTTTTATATTTTTATTTTTGTAATGAGATTTGTTTATGTCTGTGTGTTGTAACTTTGATGTTAAATGTCCCTGTAAACTAAGCTGCTTATCTTGGCCAGGACACTCCCGAAAAAGAGATTTTAATCTCAGTGAGTCTTTTTCCTGGTAAAATAAAGGTAAATAAATATAATATGATGACCTCTTAGATGTCAAAAGTTCAAGGAAAATTTGATTTCTCAGTTCATCACCCCTTTAAGGACATTTTGAAATGAAGATAACGCACAATTAAATACCATTGTTGCTATTATCAGTTAACTGAACATTTTACCTCAGGACATATGATAATTGAGAGAATCTCACAGTAACATCAGCAATCTTCCTCCACGCTGATTTCAGCATTTTCGTCATTAAATATTCTCAGATTTCTGGCATATAATTCAGGGCACTTCCCTACTTCATTGAGTTTTTAGTCGTCCTTTTAGTTATAGTTATCTCTATGCTACCCCTTGCTGTTGAAATAGCTCTAAAGTGTTTTGTGACCTATACCTCCAAAAGGTAAAGGCACACAACATAGAATGTAATCACGACAGGCAAACATATATACTTTCGCACTCAGGTTAGTGTATGGGGAAAAAATGCCAGTTGCTTTTCAAACAACATATGCATTGTGATACAGCCTGGTTCGTAGGTCCATTATGTCGGTTTGCTTTCTCACCATAAGCAAACTCCTTAAGAGTTTGTTTTCAAGTGGAGCGAGACCTCTTGTTCAGGCCATCTCAGACCAATTTCCTTGGTGTGAATTCAAGTGCGATTGCGGAGTTTACACATGCCTAAACAAACCGAACTTATGAAGAAAATATGTTAGTTTGAAAATGCCCAAACACACCGTATCTAGATAGGACACAATGTCAAAATCACCCTGAGCCAGAGCACAAAGTATATTTTTGAAGTCTACTGTATGCTATTTTAGTGACCTTCCGTGAACCCTCCCACCCCCAGGACCCTGTGTCGACCCCTACCTGTCAGCACGCTGCAGGTGATGGCCTCAGTGTGTTGGGCCAGGAGTTCAGCTTTTGCAATGGCAGCCAGTGACAAGTAGCTGGACATGTTTCTACTCAGCTCTTGATTCCCTTGCTGCAAGAACCGCACCGCAACAGGGACCGCTAACACCATCACTGGAGGCCTGTTGTAATTCTGAGAAGAAAAAAAAAAAATCAACTCAAATTTAGACCTTCATCTTAGGTCACAGATTAATTGTTATTAGTTACGACCTATACAACCAAATTGAAAAGCTCAATTAGAAGTTTCATTCAATTAAGTAAAAATCAATATATTAGTGTGTGCTAATTCTAAATAGCATATAGATAAATCAATAAAGACTTTAATAGATTCAGACAATTATCACATAAAGGTTAGCTGGCTGCTTAGTCAATTAAACAAGATATACTATATGAGGTATCTCTTTAATAATAAGAGATTCTAATCATTTAATAATAAGAGATACTATATAAAGCATGAAAGGCATCAGTAAACATTTCAAAGGATCAAACTGAAGCCTGCCACAGAAAGTATGTTATGTTAAATGTTCTGCTGCCCCCTAGAGAAGATGATGTGAACATGTCATGTTGAAACAGATGAAACATCAGATGGATAAGTGATTCATCGAATGAAATGAGATGTTATGGATCAAGTTTTATACTAAAAAATAATAAGATTCATTATGATTAATTTTCACTATTTTGAAAGCTATTAGTTCATTATTTAATGTATCTAGTATCATAATTTAATGTCTACTGCATGCTATGAATATGAATTTAGTTTATTCTGGAGCAAATTAAGACATTTATTTGGCCATTCATCTTCTTCCCTGAAGGGAAAAAGTCCTTAAATATCGGAAATAAAACTTTAAAAAGCATGACATAGGGCGAATAACTTCCAAAGAACCCAAGCTAATTATAAAACACCCACTTGAATATGTGACTGCTGCTCAGATCAAAGAGACTTTCCACAAATAGTTCTGAAGAACTCAGGCATAAGACCGTTCAAGCTGCAGTTCTCTAATGAATACTGATCTCTAGCACTACCCAGAATGCATCACTCTAGATCAGCCTCTCTCTAAGCCCTTCTCTAAGATTCATATGTGGCTCATTGTGTAAGTGAATGCATGCGTGTGTGTATGTGAAAGAGACAAATACAAAAACGAGGGAAAGTCGAGAGGGGGGGGGGGGGGGGTAATGTGAGATTGAGACATTGAAGCAAATATTAAGAAGCATCTAATTAATTAGCAGGCTAATTTCTGTTGTCAGGCGTGTCAGTTCCATTTTAAGACATGCCACGTGACTCCCTGAGAATGTAATTATTGCTTCATAACTGACAAAGCTGGTTTAAATATGGACCCTTTCACATTTCCAGGGTTCTCGGAAGCAGTTGTCGTCATAGCTGGGTAAACGTCTATGGTGGTGAACGAGTTTTCATTTGCTCCAATAGCAAAAGAAAAAAATACAGCATTTCCAAAACTTCCCAAAAAAGAGAGAATGATGATGAATTTATATATATATGGTTTGTAGACAACCTACATGAACCACTGAGCCACTGCCGCCCCTGTTTCTTAATCAGCTGCCGAAAGTGTAATATATATATATGGCTATACTGGCTAACTGGTATGTAACTTGCATAATAATTTGGAACACAGTGTAGCGGTAACCCCAAAGAAAAGATCTATGAATGACATTGGTCAGATAACAAAATATCAAACAAAGCAGAAAATCTGCAAGCAAAATAGCTTTTGTCAAATTGCATTACAATCTGTTGGGGATGTCTGAAGTGTGATGGAACCACTTGAATAGGCGTGTGCCTGAAGCCAAATTCCGAATTTGGAAAGGTATGGTTGCGCTTTCTGAGCGTCACTGAACAATCTTGTAAAATGTGTGGGATGTACCGCCATTCCCTGTACACAGTTAAGAACATGTATTTGCGGTATAAGTACCAAAAACCATCTCAATATGTTTTTACAGCTCCTTTCTCAGGAGCTCTGCTAAGAACAGGTCGATTTTGGCCTGTCTAATTAATATTCATGAGCCTCTCTTCTGATTGGTCTATTGTTTTCTGAATGACGCACGGCTAGGCTAACCACAGGTACTTAGGGTAATGTATTGGCGCTTTTCCACTGCATAGTACGGTACGGTTCGGCCCAGTACGCTTCGACTCGGCGCGGAACAGTTCGGATCGCTTTTCGTTTCCACTGCAGTAGTACCCCTTCAAAGTGTGTGGGGCTGATCATTATTTGCGCGCGCCTCTACTGCCATGACATCATCTTAAAAGCGCCACATTTTCAAACCCACAACACAGGAACAATGGAGACTATCGAGGGGATGGTGTTCCTGATTCTCGGTATGTGGTTGTTTTTAACTGCTAGACGGAAAAATGTGTTTATAATGAGGCTGATGGCAGCAAAACAAAAATACTGCTAAAAAAGTGTCTCGTGTCTCATGTCGCAAATCCAATGACGCTAGTAGTGACGCTGGTAGTGACGATTCTGTCTGACCAATCAGTGATCTGCAGTGTTTCACGTCACATTTTAGTACCGGTACGGTACGCTTGGAACCTCAACAGACCAGGTACCGTTTAAAGCGACCTGAAGCGGACCGTACTGTACCGTACCATGCAGTGGAAAAGCACCACAAGCTGTAGCTTGCTGTGGCTTGGGGATGCTCACAAGTAAGGTAAATAAAACACCTGTAATGATGGACATCGCTGAGGGAAATGTTATTTTGACCTTATATATTCGAGCCGGACTCAGACTCCGAATCGTCGATGACAGGAGACAACCACCCAGACAGCAAACTGACATTGAATCAACGTGGAAACGACGTCTCTCATGACATTGAAACAACGTTGATTTTGCTCATCGAATTAACGTTGAACCAACGTCAGACGCGGCATTCTTCAAAGCTAAATGAAAATCGAAAATTGGTTTGCTTTCATAACGTTGAAACAACGCGTTGATTTCAAGTTGATTTTCCGTTAGTTTTGAAAGAATGACGCGTCTGACGTTGGTTCAACGTTAATTCGATGAGCAAAACAATGTCAGATCAACATTGTTTCGATGTCATATTTCCACGTTGATTCAATGTCAGTTTGCTATCTGGGCAACCACCTCCTCAAACACGCTTCCAAAAAGATATTTTAGAATAGTAATTAATGTTTGTTTGTTTTTTTTACGTTCAGCATTGTAAGAGTATTATCATTACTATTACATCGATGCAGCATGCAGATTTAACATTAACGCTAATTTAAGTCTTTAAACAAACTCAAGACTTTTGAAACAGCGTTACCCATGCAAGTACACTAAACGATAGTTTCTGTTAGCAAAACAAAAGACACAGAGACTGAGTGAACTCAATCTCACTGTCTTTAACTCAATAAAAACAACAGACACCAACAGGCTGGTGTCTGTAACTTATTTTGTCTTGTTTCCAACAGATATTCTATCAAAGCTTATGGTAACTATAGACTGTACAAAACAACATGTCAGCATCAACTAAGCAACATGTTAGTGTTGCATATCCGTTTACAAACTATAATTTCAGGTTATGCTGGCTCCATAATGTACGTTTATTTACGGGTTGCGAATTTGAGGTGGGACCCAACAATGTAGGGACTGAAGCATCTTTGATGAGTAGCTTCTTTGAAAAACCAGCATTGAACTGTGCCTGATTGACTAAGCAGTCACTTGAGAAATGTGCAGAACAGACGGTTAAGGTTGACTTAAATTGCTGTGGTATTTTTGGATAAATAAACATTAGCCACTGGTCTTTTATTTTAATGTTGTTCAGAAGCCTGTGCAATGATGTAGTTTCCATCGACTGAACACCATTTTCTCGTCATGTTTCCGTGTTGTTGTTGTTGCCCAGCAATAGAGTGCCGAAATGATGACGTTACTTTGTAGGACACCTCGGAAGCTAGCGGCGCATGGGTTCCCTCGATCGGAAAGCTATGCATTTTTCCCATAAACTTTTGGAAAATTGCAAGGACGTCACTTTTACGGAAGTCACAACGGCTCGTGAAAAGGCACAGCTACTTTACCTAGGATGTGTGCATTTCTCTGTGGACTGTTTTGAAACTTATGCCGCTATTCCACTGCTGGTACTTACTAGATACTGTTATGTTTATGCACAGATATCATTAGTGTGCACTTAAGCGTTATTCTCACCTGCAAGATGCAGCTGGTGATGTCGGAGGCAATCTTGGCATGAGGTGTGTCTTCATCTTTGCCCTGCGGCTGGAGGTTATGTTCAAGACATGACTCCCATAAGGACACAAGAGATGCTCCATGCCTCTCAATCGAGCCTGTCTCCCTGATCGCTGTAGTGATGCGTGTAATGCAGATCTCCACCACCGCCTGGTCATTGTCATTGGTCAGGTAGTCCTGCAACAAATCACATAACTCAATGAAAGACTGTGCATTTCAGACTCTGTTACATTAAAAAAAAAAGAGTTCAATGATTTGTAGAATTAAGATAAAATGTTCTGGTTGCTTCAGCAAATACTGTATGCTTTTATTTCACGTTTGCTTTTGTTAAAGGAGTAGTTCACTTTTGAAAAAACTTTTGCTGAAAATTTACTCACCCCCATGTCATCCAAGATGTCCATGTCTTTCTTTCCTCAGTCGAAAAGAAATTAAGGTTTTTGATGAAAACATTCCAGGATTTTTCTCCTTATAATGGACTTCCATGGGAACCAGGTCCAACCGAGGTCCAAACGACAGTTATAACAGTTTCAGATGCAGCTTCAAATGTCTTTAAACGACACCAGACGATGAATAAGGGTCTTATCATGCGAAACGATCGGTTATTTCAAAACTTATTCCAAAAATTTAACTTTTCTAAGGACTAATGCTAGCCTTTCTCCATTCTGTTAGGCGCGTTTGCAACGTCACGTAATACGTAATTACGTTCAAAAGGTCACAGGCGACGTAGCCAGAAGTACAGAGTCAGAGTGTTTACAAGTTGAACGCATAGGTTGAACGTGAAAACTAACTCAAACGCCGTTTACAAAAAAGGAATTAAAAGGTAAAACAACGATGTCGGGCGATTTTGATTCTGTACTTCCGGCTACATCGCCCGTGACCTTTTGAACGTAATTACGTATTACGTGACGTTGCAAACGCGCCTCACAGTATATTACAAGGCTAGCATTTGTCCTTAGAAAAGTTACATTTTTGGAATAAGCTTTGAAATAACCGATCGTTTCGCATGATAAGACCCTTATTCATCGTCTGGTGTCGTTTAAAGACATTTGAAGCTGCATCTGAAACTGTTATTAACTGTCGTTTGGACCTCGGTTGGACCTGGTTCCCATGGAAGTCCATTATATGGAGAAAAATCCTGGAATGTTTTCATCAAAAACCTTCATTTCTTTTCGACTAAGGAAAGAAAGACATGGACATCTTGGATGACATGGGGGTGAGTAAATTATCAGCAAAAGTTTTTTCAAAAGTGAACTAATCCTTTAACACTATCAGTTAGGTTTAGTTAGGGTAGGGTTTAGTGTAGGTGGTAAGTCATTTTCAAATGCGAAGGAGCATTTGAAAGCATTTAAAGAAGCAAGGGCTGCGATACACAAGAATATCAAAATTCTTAGTTTCCTCCATTTCTGAAGTATTTGATTTATTTTAGAATCCAGTGAATAGGTCTTCTTGACACTTTGTTTGGCTTGAGCTGTTTTTTTGAGTTAGTTTTGCAATGTTATCAGTTCAGTTTCCTGTGGGGTTTTTTTTCTCTTGCTCTTTTGTTGGTTGAGGTAATTAAATTGCTGTCTGAATCCACACCTCTGAGTTTACAAGAAGAGATCAATTCAAAATGCATTGTTTAAATCCTTTTTGACCACTGTGCAGCAACGTACATTAGCTGTTGCACTTCAGGTAATTTGCATGCATTTTAAAGGGGTGATGAACTAAGAAATCAAATTTTCAAAATTCAAAGAAGTCATCATATTAAAAGAATATCCTGTAAGTTTCAGAACTGAAAATGTCCTTGTTAGTCCAATAAAAGCTTTTATTGACACCAGGCTCAGCAAACGACTCGTTTTTCAAAGTGGGGAACTATGACGACAAAGAGGATAAAACACCACCCCCGCAGAAGAAGATCAATGCCTACTTCAACGGCCGGTTTAGCCCCGCCCACCGATTCGCGCATTACACGCATAGCTAAATAACATAGATGCCTACCTCGTGATGACAAACCGGATCGAGCCACCGAGCAATACAAAATATTGTGCAGTGCCTGGTTGTGGAAGAAGACAGTCGCTGCATAAGCTTCCTCTGGATTCCAGTAGGACTGCATGGATAAACTTTATTTGTAATGACGTTCCAGCTGATGAGGTAAAACATTGTCCGTCTGTTTGCTTCATTTCACTGAGGATTGTTTTGTAAACAAGACTGGATTTGCAGACCGATTAAGAGTAAAGAACAGTGCTGTGCTGTCTATATTGGATCTGACAGGAATGGTGCAACACACGGACTCTGGGTCGAACATGCCTGGGCAAATCATTCCGGTTGCCATTTTACAACATTGGACACTTTCAAAACACAGACGAGTGAGTTGAAACTCATTATAATATGCAAAACTTTTATCCACTCACAGCAGTGGGCGTTTACTTCAATGTGAGACGCCTATAAAAACGAGATGGTTCTCACTGCGGAACATGAAATCCACGGGGAGGAGTCGGATCCAGATCCAACTCCTCCCACCTTACATACACCTAAACCTACCCAACTCCACCCCCGATCCCTAAAGCCACCCCTAATCCCTAACCCCACCCCTAATCCTACATCTCCACCCCTTGGATCTTGGTCCGACTCCTCCCCGTGGATCTCATGTACTGCATTGAGGTGCTACTGATAAAAACCGAGCGTTTTTGAGCTAAGCTCAAAACTAGGGTAGAAAATAGCCTATTACTTATCAATTTTGATGTTTTTGAATTTAAAAACCAAGCGAACGTCATAAGTTGACCTCAGACAACAATATAATACAATTTAAAAAGCCAGTTCATGACCCCTTTAAAGATGTACACTTTTATTACTGAAACAGCTTTTGTTTACCTCATGTAATTAAGAGTCTGTATTAACTTATTTCCATATATTAAAATTATATTAATTTTGAGAAAAATGCAGGGCAGATATAATAATCTATCTAAAGATTTTTAAGCAGGAGATCAAATAATAATAATAAGACATTATATTCCTATTATTGTCATGGATTCCACCCCAGCACCAGGTCCACAAAATCCATCAATTGGTTACTGCCCCTACAAAGACGCACCAGCCACACTCACCTGTTGTCCGGTCTTGTCGATCTCCACATGAGAACGCTCATGCCTGACTCCTACTTACCTGCGTTCTCGCCTTCTTCCTGCGGCACACTTCCCTGGACCGAATTTCCGAAAAGGACATGGATGAATACATCAAATAAGCCCTGGAACAAGGATTCTTTCAGCCATCTACAGGTACCTCTCCTGCCGCTTTGAGCTTCTTCTTCTACGTGGCCAAAAAGGATGAAGGCCATGCATTGACTACAGAGCTCTCACTGATAACTCAGCGGCAATAATCTTATCCAAATTAGAAAAGATGATGGATGGAAGACCGCCTTCTTAACACCATCGGGCCACTATGAGTACCGAATTATGCCGTACAGGCTGGCTAACTCACCGTCTGTGTTCCAGGCTTTCATGGATGAGTTGTTCCGAGACATGCTCCAGCAATTCATTTTCATCTACATCTATGATATTCTAATGTACTCTCGGAATCTGAAACACCACAGACACATTGTGCAGGTCCTTCAACAACTCAACCTGTCTCCAAAATAACTCCTGATTGTCTGCTCTTCATTCGATCTTCTACCAATTTAATAAAGATCCTGCTCAACGATACCCATGTTCCTTCTGTTTATCTGACTGTGACAATTATTAAATTAAATATGAATTTATTCTTATCATTCCAAGCATATGACATTTTATTTACAGCAGACAATCATGTGACTGACCAGGTGGTTTAATATTTAAAACATTATGGTTTGATTGACATTCATACACTGACTATTAAGTAACCGTTTGTATCCTAACTGTGTGCTATACAGTATTTGCATGGAAACAGCTTCATATTTCGATTTCTGAAAACATGAGGTATCATTAGGCAAGAAAGTTTGGATCTTTGTGGTGTGGCATGTTTGGAATGATAATGTTATGCACGTGACTGTGGAAAGGAGGACAGTGTAGGCCCTGGAGAGAGAAATACAAGAGAAGAGAGAATGAGACGAAGAGAGAACGAGAGAAGGCTACCCCTGAGATGCTGGATGAGCCCAAATCTGTTTACAAAAGCCAGCCAGAACACAGAAGCCCAATAAGGCAAGAAGAACTGGCTTTAGCATGCTCAGTGACCCTAACTTTCCTTCAGAAGTCATTTTAATTTTTACTCATTATAATAAAATACAAAAAAGAATGAGGAAATGAGGGGTCACCTTATTCAAATTATTCAGATATGCAGTGCTGCTGACAGGGTCAATGATCAACTAAAACATGCCATATGCTCTCTAACTTCACTTTAACAGCATAACATCAACCAGGCCTGTAAACGGCTAAGGACAAAAACAAAGGAAAACATTTTTTTTTCCCTCAGTCAATATGACTATACAATAATAATAAATAGTAGTAGTAGTAGTAGTAGTAGTAGTATCATCATCATCTAAATGATAAAAGATCAAAACAGATAAATATATTACTATTGCAACAATACTACTGAAGTGGAAAATAATTAATACAATTAATAAAAAAATGTATTTAATAATAATACAAATTCATTTTACAGAAGAATGGTAAAATTACAAACGCTTGACGTGTGTTAATTTGGATAATTTAAATTAAGTGTAATGTACATATGTTTAAGTGTACAGCACATCATGGTAGAATTTGCTGTTTTATCTTTGACCAGATTTAATCATTACAGTAAGTACATTTATAGCAATAAAGTCAAATTAATTTTGTACTCTGTATTTTCATTGTCATTTTCACAATAAAAACAAAACAACAAATGTATTTATTTTAGTTTAACTAAATATTTCTTGAATTACCTTTTTAATCATTTAAAAGGTGCCATGTGTAAGAATTGAGGTTAAAATATCCCAAAAAAATTAGCTACACACATCAAAAGAATGAGAAGAAATAAGGTTGATGATGTCATTAAAAAATGACAAGTTATTGTGCTGCAGAGAAATTAACCTGAATTAGCATGCTAAATTACTAGCCCCGGCCCGGCAAGGTGTCGTAATACAAGTTTCGGCCATGGGAGGCGGTATGCGGGCGGGCAACATAACCACCAGCCAAAACAAGTACACGAGTAAGTCGCGCCGGCTTGTGTGTACTTGAACCTGATGTCAGTCGTGTGGAAAGTACAGCCCACTACTACATTTCAGTTCAGGGAAGAGTTAAAAAAATGATTGGTCGACATTATGCGTGAGGAATACATTTTGGTAAGTTGTAGCATACTCTATCATTCAACAGTGTTTGTGTTCTTTTACCATAGTAGAGATGATCGGTTCACGTGCACTAGGGATCTGTCGTGTATAGGGTTGGGTATCGAGAATCGAGTATCGATTGGAACCGGTACTAACTTTTCATTTTTCCCGGAATCGTTCAAAAGTTAAAATTTCGATTCCTAGTTTCGATATTCACAGTCCGCCGAGCGGAAGAAGAAACCGCTGAACAACACCAACGAAGAAGCGTCTACCGGAAGTGTTGGCATAACCGCGCTGGTCGAACATGAGTAGCTTACGTCGGCGGTCCAAAGTGCGGCTTCACTTTTCTAAAAATAACGAAATCTCGGCAAAAACATAATTTATGACGAAAGGAGTATTTGTGACAGAAGGAGTATTTCCTTCAGAAAGGATTATTTCCTTCCGAAAGACCGTTGGTTAGCAAGGTTAGCTAAACTTTTTTGACCCTGCCTCTTAAAAGAATCGGAATCGAGAATCGTTAGGAACCGGAATCGAAACAAGGAATCGGAAACGGAATCAGAATCGTTCAAATTCAAACGTTACCCAACCCTAGTCGTGTAACATTTACAAGTGCCAAAATGGTATTTATTGTTTGAATTGCGTAATGAAATTGACAGAATCTGAGAGCTGGGATTTTTTTTATATATATCAAAACTAACCTGCTCTGTCTAGTCTGTCGGTCTCTGTGTCCTTTTCGGTGCATGACAAAATTGATGTGTGGCGTGAGAGCGTGTGAAAAGTGTCAATTGCGTGTCTCACGGTGAATTCGTGAGAGTTGTCAGCTCTAAATGGCGCTTGCTCTGTCAAATTAATTCAAACTAACAATAAAAATGTAATATGAACAAAACGAATACCGTAAAACTTCAAATAATAGCCCGGGCTTTTTTTTTTCCCATATCGTCGAAATGCACCGGCTTGTATGCGAGACAGGCGTCAATGAGACGGCCATTATAATTTAGTGTTGAGATGTTGTTTATTGAGTCTCTAATCTCTAAAAAAATCTCCAAATGCTCCACGTGAAACTGCGGTCTTTCAACCTTTTACTATCGTGTCAATTGATTTGATTAATATGTGCGAGGGAGAGAGAGCAAGACAGCGCTCGCCAGTGTTGTTTGAAGATGTGAGAGTGCGCACAGCTGCTGCACAACTCACTTTCTGGAGGTATACTGCCCCCATCTGGTATGGAATATGGAGTATGATTTGATTTTTTTGACACGACACCTTTAATTCCAGGCTTTCATCTTCATCATAAGATGACAATCATCATAAATCCTCTCGTATGGCCTCATGGGATAGTTAAGTGTACATCTTGCACACACTTCAGAATCTTGCAGGAAGAAGTACCCAATCCGGATACTTTGGCCTACTCTTTTATGAGTACTGTGAATTCAGACGTACTTTTGTTTTTCACCTACTCTATAGTATTGGTGGGCAGATTGAGGCTTTGTGGAACACTGAAAAATTTATAAATACTGTGTCGAAGCTTCGAAACAATCTGACACACGTCTCCACAGTGATCCCTGGTGGTCAGAACAGTGTAAATGCAACAAAACCCAGGTCAAACATGCATAAAAACAAATCTTACTAATTTTATTTTAAAATTTTAAAACAAATTTTACAAATCTATAGCAAATTTTTTATTAAAAATAAAATGTTTCAAATGCAATTATCTAATCATCAAATAAGATTATCAAGTGTCTATATGCTCTTTGATCAATTGTCAGGGTTCGTTTAGTTTGTTTTTGTTAGTTTGAAAATTTTAAGGTGTTTCCAAACTTTTCAAAACAGTAATGACGTAAAGAAGCCTCGTTTACTGAAATGACGTGACTCTGGCAGTTTGAACACTCCGCACCATTGACTTGAAGCAATTTGTAAAGGTTTCAAAGCTTCATGAAGCAGTGTTTTGAAATTGCCATCACTACTATATACGTAGGAAGTATGCAAATTTGGAGCCAAAGAATAATGACTTAACAAGACCCACCTGAAAGCAATTAACAATCAACTAATGAGAACGTGACACATGGACAAGGGAACCAATACAAAGCCCATCTACAGAAAGCCTGGGCACTCCCTATTAAGTCCTATTATACCGAATTTTGGTTGTAGTTCCACCAGAGTTCCACTAGGGGCGATCGTCCAAGTGCAAAATGAATGGGAGTCTATGGGGCTAAACGGCTAAATTTGGCTCTTTAACCCCATTGTCATTGAGAAATCTCAGATTTGAATGTAGGTTTTGCAAGTTCAACATGGGTTTTATAGGTCGAAAGTTGATTGAACAACATGACATCATGACTTTTGCGTAAACATACATACATGGCGTGTTATCACTACGCATTTTGAGCTATCCGCGTGTATCCACGTGTATGCATGTACTGTATGTCTACGCCATTAACGTCCGAGTGATTCCGCGTGTCTGTACGCTGTCAAATGTCCGCGCGAAACGAAGCAAAATGTACATCTACATCTGGGGAGCGATCTTTTTTTTCCTAGGATGGGTAAGGGAACAGTCATAAATGCCATTAACCCCAGTGATGGGGTTGAGGTAAGTCATATATTTATATATACACTAATAACGTTAAGTCAACGGCATTCATAAACACGCTGAAAAGCGATTATGCGTCTTGATAGCACGCTAAAAATGGAAATACGAATTGGCATGTCATACACACACTACTTCATGAGATCAGTCTGGAATGAATGAGTACTTGTGTCCTTTCGATTAGGATCACATGATGGGATGAGGGAATCACATGACAGGAACAGGAACTATGACTATGAAAACTACAAAATAAAAGACATGAAAACAAATGTGAACCAAAACCAAACATGACAGACTCACACACAGTAATAGTAATAGTTTCTTATGAGCATGCAATAGTTTCAATAGTTGCGAAAGTCTGTTTTTTTTTTTTTTTTTTTTTGCAAAGGTCCAACTGGAGTTTAAAGTGTTTTGGAGTTTTTTTTATATATTGTAAAATAATGTCTTTTCTGTCCTCTGTTTGTTTTTGTTTTTCTTGTTTTTAGCACTGTTCAAGCAATTTCTATATGTGATTGAGTCCCTATATATAATCTTCTGGCCAACTATGTAAGGGGCACAGCAGGAACCTGTAATAATACAAACTAAAACAACTCAAATTTTTGGTACAAAAAAAAATGATATGACCCTTTTAAACATCTAAGAAAGGTATTTGCTATTTGAGGTCAGTGTACTCACTGGAGAGCAGGATATGACTTTGATTTCCTCCAGGGCTTGCGACAGACAGTCTTCAATCTCACTGTCATCCAGAGAGAAGAGGTCTCCAGCACGGGACAGGTCTCTCTGTCCCAACACTAGACGGAACAGCTGGTGCATTCTGGGAAAGGCTCAAGCTAGGGCAAGCTGCCCCTGCTGCCTTGTGTTATCACGATGACTTGACATGCTCTTTTAAGTGTCAGGGGAAGCGCCTAGGGAAAGTTGGAGAGGGGAAAAATGATAGAAGGAGAGAAGTCAACTACAAGGAAAATAAATTAAGGGGGGGGGGGGGGACAAGAAGGAAAAGAGGGTATGAGAGACAATACAAGAAAAGACACCATTGCATTTAAACTCACATCGACATACGGCTGGCTTCACAACACAGATTCCAACACAAAAATAAAATATAAAAGTTATTTAGTGAATACCATCTGATCTGACCAAGTGGGAATGTAAACGACATCGGGGGGAAAACTGGGGTCAAATTTGGAAGGGTATTTGATTCTCAAGGAGACTTTTGTTCAGATGTAGGGGATAAATAGTACTATATTGTGGTTTTAGCAGGTAATTTTAGCTAACAATGGCTGTCTATTATTGATGATGAATTTCAAGCTTTACTGCTTCGTAACATTTTACTATACTAAAAGTCATTTATACAGGATAATGGCAAGTCCATACGCTTGTTTCTCCGTCGTAGTACAACATATGACATGGAAAACATACAATAGTGCAAAAGTCTTGGTATAATGTGGTATTGTGTAGGTATCTATGTGTATCACTACGCTATATTAATCAAGTAATTTTCAAAAGTCAAGCTAGTTATAATCATAAAGCCAGTGCATCGCATTCAGTCTCTTGTACATTATGTTACTGTTTTGGTTGATAACGGCTCGCATCATGAGCGTGAGCTTGAACAATAATTAGCTGACTGCAGTTCACTTAATGGCCACCAGTGTCATTACTAACAAGGGTTTCTGAATCCTCCATATGGTCCCTTGAAGGTCACCTTGAAATTTCTCCTTTTGCTTTCCACAGGGAAAACAGCGGACAGATCAGACAAGACATCAAGGTAAATAAATAAAGTAAGGATTTTAATTTTTATTATTTCACATGTGTAAAAAAAAGGTTTATGCTTCAGTCTAAACTAAAGTGAACCTGTGTGGAATTCCAGGCTGTCAGGCTTCCTGTTAGTGACATTTTTTTTTTTTTCAGAAAACAATTCTGCCAGTGTTGCCTTCGGAATTCTTGTGGAGTGAAACCTCTGTTAATCTGTGATGTGTTAAACCTACCTGCAGGACCCCATCATTCATTAAAGAGTGTAAAATGTCGCACGTTTAGTCAAACTCTTAAACATGCGGACAAGAATCACAGCAAGAAATACTAAGTTTGGTCATGTCTGAGGAAGAGCCTTAGGTTAGTGAAGTAGTTTGATCGGCCATTATAATCAGCTAGATAATCTGAGTTATACTGAAAATTATTCGAGTACCATAATATAACCCTGCTGAAAAATCCAGCACTGCTGGTCACCACCATAAGTTATGCTAAATTTGCTATGACTACTGCACACTACTGTGTGAAACAATCCATTGTAAAAAGCACTTTATAAATAAATGTGACTACTGACAATATCACTATCACTACTATTTCACACTCCTGACCTTTTACTATGTGCACTTTTTGGAATCAGTGAGTTTCCAAATGAGTATGAAAGTCTTTAAAAACAGCAACTTTCAGTTGTTCATTCATGAATTTGTGTGAACAACACGTCATCCGTGTATTACATGCCTGTTTATTGCGATTAAAATTGGCAAACACCACATAGTTTAATGCAAATATGATTACTACGATTATGAGCTTAGTTTGATCGAAGTGTTGTGTTTACATTTGGTCAAGTTTAATTGCAATATTCCCAAAATCCCATTATTATCGCATTATGAGGGTGCATGTAAGCGCACTGATTGATTAATAATGTAATCATCAACTAAAACAATGAAATTTTTAAATAAATTACAAAGTTATAATCATATAATTCAATAAATCATGTTGTAACCTTATATGTTTTTCCTTTACATCATTAGTGTGTTAAAAATACAAAATATGCAAGCAAAAACTGATGATGAACTAATTTCACCAGCTCTGTTTTGCTTGAGAACAGCATGAACATACTGGTTCACCAGCTAGACCAGCACTAACAAGCATAAACCAGCCTGGACCAACATGAAATTGGTAAATTTTCAAAACTGGCTTTCCTATACTGCTATCTCCAGGATGAAAGTGCAAGATCCAGAATATTCTGTTGCCAGAGATTCCATTTTCAGTGAATACTGACAAGACTCGGCAAATGGACAAAAAGCTGGCAATGAAAATAAAAACTTAAAAAGAAAATGTCCCTGTTTTGGGCCTCTTGTGTGTTCTAACATCAGTCACCAATTCAAACGGATCATAGGTCCTGCCAATCAGAAGGCACTCTGGGGCAGACAGCCAATGGTATGTGACAGTCTTTGAAAAGGCAACAGCACAGCTGCACTTCACACCCCGTCCTCTCATTCCAGATCTGAGCATTGCTAGGATACCACAGCAAGAACGCTCACAGACCCAGACAACTAATACATAAATACCCAGCTAACAAAAATAAGTTCTAAAAATGTTTTTCAAACGTTCCCATTAAGAAGAAGAAAAAAAACTTCCCTGCACGTTTAAAACGTCCAGTTTAAAAAAAAAAAAGAATCCTTTTTCTTGGTTATGCAAACATTATAGGTCCCAAGCTCTGATGGCCACTGAGTCTGGTTTACCGGGGTGCCAGGCATCATGTGCTACCAGAGGCCTCACCCATCCTGCCTGCCATTAGATCAGATGAGACTAGTCTGCAGTGTGGTGGATCCACCACTGATTGTCAGGGGGCGAGCAGCCAACATCCCAAGACCTACAGTCTCAAGCCTACCAGCCTCATCGCCCTCAAGCCTGCCAACCTCAGCACTGTCTGTCCCGGAGGTTGATCCATTGTCCACAGAGCTCTCTGTGTATGTAACAATCATTTGCTGTGTTTAGCCTGCCCACACCTTTCCTGATTCCCCCGAGGCGGCAACATATGGGGAGGCCGCTTCTGAACTCTCTGTATCCCCTGACAGGCCACAGAGGCTGACAAGTAACTCCCTGCCTGCCTTGTTATGACCATGGTGATCTTCCTAGTAATCTCTTATAGCCATGGAGGCCATTACTGATATCGCATTCCGTTTCATCTCAACCAGAGTGGCTGTTCCAGGTTCTCCTGTCTCGTCTGCTACACTGTGGTGGTCTCCAGTTCCACCTGATCTTCCCTGGTGGTCTTCTGCTCTGCCATGATGGTCCTGATTGCTGGTCACCAGCCCTGTCTGCAATGGTCTTCTGCTCCACCATGGGGATTATCAGACCCATCTACTCTTTTGAGGTGGTCTTCTGTTACGCTGTGTGAATCTTCAGTCCCGTCTGCACTGCTGTGGGGGTCATCTCCTCCACCATGGGTATCTTTAGTCCCTAATGCTCTGATGTGGTGGTCCCTACCAGCGATCCCTGGCTGCCCACTTGGCCTGCTCCTGCTTGTTATCTTAAGCATGTTTGCAACTGGGTGTATATAGCCCTTTAGTTTAACTTGTTCTCTGTCAGTTGTTGAATGTGATGTCCCCTTTTTTACGTTTGTGACTCGACCTTCGGCGTCTTCCTAGCGTCAGGAAGACTTTGGTGGCACGGGATCCAGCGTGATCTTGGGCCTGGGTCCCCGAAGAAGGGGGCTGCCTGCGACGGCCAGCCGAGCTCGAGCTTTGGCTCGCTCTCTTGGTTGATGATGCTGAGAATCTGGCGGCTGAGGCGGCGGGGAGGCAGTTTTCCGGGCAGGCGGCTGTTTCCTAGAGCACCCTGACACGGAACTCAAGCGTCGAGGGATGAAGTGCCGAATAGCCTGCAACGTCTTCTGGGCCTTCGAAAAATGCTCAACAAACCCATCAACAGCCTGTCCGAAGAGCCCGGAACGAGACACAGGAGCTTTGTCAGCATCCTTCATATCTGACAGTGTCTCTCAACAATGGTGAGAGACACTGCCATTTTCCTCCTGATGGCCTGAGCGAAGGACTCAGTGGCTCGCAGAGCTAGATCTGTGGCGCTTATCAAGTCCGTAAAGCTGTCAGTGTCCATGCCTCGTCCAAGGAATGTAGAAGGTTGGTTTGGTGGATTTGCAGCACTGCCATGGTGTGGAGTGCTGAAGCGGCCTGGCCAGCGGCGATGTGAACGCGACTGACGAAGGCGGAAATAGTTCGGCAGACTTTAGAGGGCAAGGCGGCCTTAGAACGCCATCCATTGGAGGGTGGGAAAAGATGCGTTGCGATCACTTCCTCGACCGGAGGAATGGAAACATACTGTAAGGCATTTCTCAATGTCAAGGAAGGATCCTCGGAAGCCGGAATTTCGAGGATGCTACGTCATCGTCAACGTCACGAGCAGTCCCTCGATAGGTTGCAGTAGAGCAGCTAATAGGCGCACGAGCTACCTTGCCTAGGCCTGCTCGCTGCAGCAAATGGGTTTTAAATTAATACAAAATTATAAGGATAATTTTTGGCTTCAGCATTCTCGAGAAAAGAGGTTATCCCGTAAGAGTTTCAAGTTATTATGTGTTTTTCGAGTAAATATGACTACATTGTCAAAATGGCCCCCGTTACACAGATCTCAGAAAACAATTAAAATTGCTGTTATGAATGCCACGCCAGTAGTAAACTACGTGCCTATAGACTGAACATCTAATAGGCATGAGCATTACTTCACCATTTTTGTAGTTTACCCAGAACTATTAGTTTTAAATCTTGCACTTTAAAAAAAAATAATTTTCAAAAGTTAATATTCAGCCCCCCAAAACGATGGGCTCTAGTTTTCCAGCCTCGACTCAAAGCTGAGAAAATACATATTGTAATTGAGATTTAAGACAATTTAATTTAGTTTTATGGTGGTATGAATGTGACTGTAAAAATGTGACCAGAATGGTTTTTGACAACATTGAAACATTGACAGCCAATCAGAAATCAATTGACCAAGAAAAGCTTGAGCATCTTTGTGGTAATTGGTCTTTGTTTGAATAGGCCTTTAATGTTTGAGTTGGTTTTATAAGTCTGTAATGAATGGTCTCTCAAATAGCTGTAAAAACACACACAAAAAAGCAAAAGCAAAAACTGTTATTAAAGCACAAACA